TGTATGTCAAATTAACAGGTTGAATAAAGAAAACGGTCCAATTACTTATCAACGAATAATTGGCAGTGTAGGGTCAGTGAAATGTCACTAAGCCCTAGCCAAATCATCCGGCAGTTGGTTCATTGAATATCGAACCGATCATCGATCCCTGTCAAGGTCCAGGACGACCAACGCGCATCGGTTAATCATACGCTATGGACTAGCCCATGCAACGGTGGTTTTACTTCCGCTTGTATCTACTTTAACTAATATATTTCTATAATAACGCCCTTTGTGTCGTACAATCTACGACGCATCTATGGTACCTTGATACGTCAAGGGAGTGATCCACGTAAGGTGCTGACTTCGACGTTAGCTAGGTCGCCACACCATTCCCGTTTAACTCGATTAGACCTCCAATCATTCGACATAGAACATCTACGCTGGCGATTTACACCGTGTAGTCGCTAGCTGAACACCATCCTTTCGGTTCAGGCTGTTCGTGTTCGCCCATATATACAGCACTTCTGCTGTCAATCTTTCTTTATAAGTGTTAAAACCTTTCTGAAGTATTTTGGTCTCTTCAACATTAATCTTGTGTTCTGTTTCTAACGCATGTAACGCTATCGCAGACGTGTGTCTCAAGTTTCGTTAAGTCAACAGAGGATTTGGGAACGTTTCTCAAACACTTTGTGTTTTTAGTTTTATATACAAATGTCTGAATGTTTCTATCACATGAGCTGTATTACAATCATAACGGTTTGGAACGAAAAGAGAACGATGAAAATCCCTCCGCAGCTTTTTTGTTGGACAGTACTGTCACTTATTTGTTTCTTCTTCCTGTCGTGTATTTTAACCTTTGTTCGGATCTCGTTTAACCACATCTTTTGTTCTTCAATCTCCCTCGTCTGAGCTTTTATTATGTGATTTTGATTGAAGACTTATCATTTGTTACCTAATTCTATATTTCATGTTGCCGGACTATTGATAGTAAGGTCGTGTTTGGTTAAGCTCAAGGTCATAACGTGGTTCAGTGTGTGGCTGTTTACCTTTTGATTGTCTGCTTGGGAGAATTGCTGGAATCCCTGCAGATGGATATTTGATCCTATCTTGTTGGGAATATTTTTATTGATTCTCAGGTATCGGACCCTTTGGTATTAACTGCTTATTTTTTTGCTTAGCGCGCTACTTTACGTTAGAGAAACTCCTGACTGTATAGCACAGGCTGTACCGTTTGAGGTATTTTGTATTTTTGATATAATTTGTTCTATTTTCTAAATTAGAGCCGTTTAAACTAAGCACAGAGTTTGTGTTTTGATATAATTTAATACGAGTGTCTCAAGAAGGCTTTGTAAGCTATACAGAAGAAAGTAGTCTGGCCTATTCGAATAAATTTTGGTTCGTCAGTTCTGCATTCAAACCGCATACTGGTAATTTGGTCGTTACAGTTCTCAAACGAACAGTAATTACTAGTGACAAACTGTTATGACCTTGAGTCGCTTTTACCCCGTCGATGCTTTATTATGACTTGACCTTGGTCTGGTCAATCTTGCGTTCAAACCGAATACTGGCAATTTCTTCGTTACACGGTTGATCTCATAGACAATATTTTGTTGTTCTTCCTTTGGTAGCTTATCCTTAACTTTCATCATTGCCGCTCTTATGGTATTACACGCCCGATGCTGCACTCTTACATCACGATTGTTGAGAATGCCGCTGTTTCACTACGGTATGAGATGACCACAATGGACTTCCGATCTTTCTGTATACATTCTAATTTAACTTTTCTTTCATTTCTAATGATCTTTAAGAGCTCTTTTGTGTAGTTGTTATCTCTAAGTGTAGACAAATCCCTATTCAATCCAACGTGTTGGTCTTCCTTACTTGTAACAAGCCTAATACTTCTGTTAATTACATTTTTTACAACAGTAACTTTCGTACATAGCGCCTGAGTCGAACCATTATCTAAGTATCTCTCAACTTCTTATGATAGTCTTCGTTCAACCGCACAATCGAGAAACGCTAGTTTGTGGTGAACGGATTCTATTTCCTTCGTTAGCTTAATGCTCTCCGAAATGTTGTTTATATACCGAAGCTAGACCTTTAGTGGACGTATACTTCTCGCGATATATTTAGGTTTATGATTTCGGATATCACATTAGTTGTTTAAGAAAACGTTTACAGTAGTTAAGATCATAGGCGATAACAAATTCACCGCATTAAGATATTATCATACTAGCTTAATGTGATAACTTTGACACGGTTGTTGTAACACAAGTGCCCAAAAGAGAAACTCTCCGGTCCACCCTTAAAAGAAGTGCTCAGTTAAACAGTACTTCTGCATCATGATCTGTAATATAATCAACCGAATTGGATTGCTTAATGTTACACATATCATTTTAAATATCTGAGACTTCTGAATCATTAGACGTGATCATGTTTGAGGCAATAAAATATATTAGGCAATATATTAAGCAAACAAAAGCTACTTCTCACTATGTAATGTTCAATCAGGACTATAAATATTTATTCATAATATTCGCAGGTCAAGCGACACATATTTCTGCAAACGATCAGTGTAAGTAGATGAGCAGACCTCCTGCAAGTTGAAAACGAAATTTACGAATTTACTCCAACACTTACCGTTTACCACCTTGTAAAACTTTATTTAGCTATAAACATACAAAATCATGACACACATATTTGTGAATTATGAGGTTTACCAAATTCAACAACCTATAATCACTCAATTTCAAATAAGTCGAGTTCTTACTTACTCCCAATCGAGCATTGACCGCCAACCAGCATTCGCCTACTCACTCTGTCCTAGGCCTTCTTTTCTAAATCCATCCAATTCTTGTTCATTTTTCTCATGTCTATATCCATTTCCCGGCTTAATGTGTTCTTTGGTTTTCCTCTTTTCCCTTGGCCTTCAGGATTCAATGTGAGGGCTTGTCTTGTGACGCAATTGGGTGATTTCCTCAATGTGTGTCCTATCCACTTCCAGCGATTCTTCCTAATTTCTTCCTCCACTGGGATCTGGTTTGTTCTTACCCACAGTTGGTTGTTGCTATTAGTATCCAGCCAACGGATCCGTAGTATTTTTGAGGTAGATAACTATTAATAAACACTTGTGTCTTCTGAATGGTGGCTTTCGTAGTTCTCCAGGTTTCCGCTCCATACAGCAGAACTGTCTTGACATTTGTATTGGAAATCCTGATCTTGGTGTTGGTTGTCGATTATTTTGAATTCCAGATGTTCTTCAATTGTAAATATGCTGCTCTTGCTTTTCCGAATCGCGCTTTCACATCTGCATCAGATTCAGCATGTCCATTGATGCTGCTGCCCAAATATGTAAAAGCTTTTACATCTTCCAAATCTTCTCCGTCAATTGTGATTGGATTGATGCATGCTGTGTTGTATCAAAGAATCTTGCTTTTCTCTTTGTCTGTATTGAGGCCTACTGCTGTCGAGGCTGCTGGTACACTGGTCGTCTTCTCCAGCATTTGTTGTTACATGTGCGATAGGAGGGCCACATCATCTGCGAAGTCAAAATCGTACAGTCGAGTTCTATTCTATGCCTAACATGGAACTTACACCTAACTCGTATCAACCAACAACTGTTGTTTATGAATATAATTTGTGGGTCTATCGCACGTCGGAATATTGAGTGTGGAGCACATTACTCACAGATGCACTCATCTGCAACAAATTATCGTCTGTAAACTACTGAATCAAATCCAAGCGGAAAAATATTGATTTCTTCTGTATTGCATCTGAACAGACACGAAGTGTCTATGATGTCAATTAGTCAGCGTGCACAAAGTATTTATCTATAGTAGTAAATAAACTTCAAAATCAATAGCTCTATAAGTCTCCGATATTTGATGTTGACCACATTAATTTTACTAGACTCTCATAGCTGAAGGCGCTTGGTTACCCATCCGTAATATTCGCCTCCTACAACCGTCAGCCAGCTTAGACCAAACGCTTCTCGATATATCGATAACCTATCAAATATATCTTCCTTGCATCGGCGTAATTTGACTATAAAAGCATACCTTCTAAAGGCGTTGTCGAACTCCGAATACGTGTGGCATCTTCGGGATGCTATCTGAATTTCGGCCGGTTAGAAATTGGCGTACATAGGGGCACCATCTTAGAACTACTAATTCCTCTTCGCCACGTCAACAAATTATCTAGACTGCCTGCGCTGTTGACAGTACTGTTCACAGATAATGTCAAAATCTGGAGAACAATAAGTAGTTAAACCGATCATCTTAATCTTCTAGATGGCCTAAACGAATTTGTGAGACGGTCCCAAAACTGGAGCTAGGAATTCGACTTCGGAAAGTGCGTTAATACGCACCAGATACGGTAATGGATACCAACACACCATCAACTGTGCATCGCTTCAACGTGTGCAGGGACAGAAGGACTTGGGAGTAAGAATAAGTCATGACTTAAAAGCAACTTCATATTACAATGTAGCAAACGCCAAAGGTTTCCGAGCGTTGTGGTCGTTTTACCGAACATCCAAACAACTTGAAGAAGATATGTTTCGGATTGTATATACTGTCTGTGGTATGTCACACCTAGCGTAATGCATCCAAGGTGTTTGTCTCAGAGTTCGGAAACTGTGAAGTCTCTCCAAGCTCCTTACTATGAACGCCTTAACGCCTAAACCTTCTCTTCTTATTTTATTGTGGGGTCCGAAGTGACCTCATATTTACGTTTCGTATCTCTATTAACGATTTGGATGCTGACATGTTTTATGTTTTCGCTCCCTTCAGAACTAATCTTTGAGGCCATAGCAGGAAAGTTTAAGGACCGTAATCTAATACACTCAGAGTGAGATTCCGTTTTTATTACCGAGTGTTTAGTGACTCAGACGACTTACCCGAAAAGCAGTATCACATTCTTCAATGGACATTCAAAAGACAAATTGCCGCTACTGCATAAGAGGGTTATACAAAGTTCTTTGTTACATGCCTAGACATTGCGTTATTAAAATCGTCTAAATGGCAGACAACCAGGATGATATATTCGTCATAGATAAATGCGGTTCATCATTGTAATTCTCTTAATAATTCTGGTAAATATTGTCTAGGGATGACAAACAAACCGATATTACCTATGATTTTACGGAGTTAGAAGAGGAATCTCTTACTACCAGCTCCCAAAACCATAGGAGCCGAAAGCCTGTTTATGGAAAGCGTTATCACGAAGCGGACTTTGACAATAAGTTTAGACCTGGAAGGATATCGTTAGTTTTCCTGTCCATTACCCTATGGCTCATTTGTATTTCAGACGAGAACTACGAAAGGCACTAAATCTGAGTAGTCATGATATTCCAATCCACATTTATCGTATGAGAACGTTGGGGTATCCTCCTGGCTGGCTGAAAAAAGCTGCTGTTGGTGGCTGTCTACTGATGTTTGATTCAGACAACTCGGACAGCTCAGCATCTGAACGTGAGTTGCCCTTTTAAGTAGTTTTGTGCTCATAGCAAGCAGAAAAATTGATGAGCGTTAAGTGATTTTGATTACAAGTTCGCAATCATGATCGCTTTACGCTCATGGTTGCGTGTCGTCAGGGTGCCTGACTTCTTGGTCCCAGTCTAATTATCTGTGGTTTGTTATATTCTCATGACTACGTTTCCACATATCCATTATTTGGGTGCATTCGAATTCCTAGCACAGCTTAAAGCGACGTTTGGCCTCAGAGCTTTGTACTAGAACAAAAATAAGTAGTGATGTTATAGATCCAATGTGTGTGTCCTTTTATAAACTTATCATTTTACTAATTAACGCATTAATTAAGATATAAGTAGTCATTACTGTTGTGTAGTAATAACAGTGCTTTGGGTGTGTGATCTGATGGTTTGTTTTTCACACAAATAGTTATTCGGCTTAAAACTTTCATATTATATATAAGATAGGACAATATTTTATCCATGTAGTCTTGATAATCCTTCAGAATATTACGAGGGATCAGTTACTCTGTCTTAATTCCCTAGAACATCAAGTAAAGGTGATGTATTTTTCTCTTAACAGTGAATGTTTCTTTTACTTATTCGTTTATTTATCACTGCAGTTAACTTTAAATTATTCAAAATCCGTTTGATACTGGGCTAACTTTTCTGGTTGACGAGTTAGGTTAGGATCCTGGAGCCCATGTATACCATTGGTTTGGAGTCAGGGTTTTTCCAACTCCCCTAGGTGGTTCCTCCGTATCCACCAATCCGGTTAAAGCGCCGAACACTTTTCGTTTTCTCAATTTCATAAGTAACACCCTCGCCGCGAGAAGGCAGTGATTAGGAATTCCCTGGCAGTGGTTGTATGCACGTGGCCATTTGAGAGCATTTCGAGAGAAAGAGAGCTGACTGTCCCCACTCTCGGCCGTATCAGGGCATTTGGAGGCTGATAGGATCTTTAATCTCACAATTGTTATTGCTCGAAGTTTATTTTGCAATCATACATGTAGATATTTGAGTTGAAAATCCTTACGCCATATGTTAGGTGTTCATTAGAAAGTACAATCTGGCCCTCCCATACTCTGGTGTGTATTTCGGTCTATTGCTGGGTAGTACTTTATTTGAACACCTTGCACTTTATACACTCGTTTTCGACCCCGTTCTTAGACTATGTACCTGAAATTTTTATCTTAATGGATGCAGATTTCACAGTAATTTGCGCCTTGGTTAATTTTACTACAGTGCCTTCATTAAACTATTACTGTGTAATTTCAGCGCACTGTCTTCAATGTTCTGTGTTTTTTGTGCAGGTAAAGTGTCGTACAACAGAAACGCTCTTATTGGTTATCCTGGATTCAATGTCGAGCTGGATCGTTCAGTTAGGGATGATTATTTATATTTAAAATGTCCGCCGATGCAAAAACATCATATGCTGGATAATTTCTACGCTTCCTTGTCTTGTGAATCGTCTAAGAAATTCAGTATTACAAGTACAAATGGCAACCACTCACGTAAGTCTTATAAGGCTGGTCAGTATATACATCAGTTGTGTAGTTTCTCAGTGGATTCTAGCTTACTGATCCTGGAAAATTAATTGTTATTCACTAACCATCGCAAAATATAAAAAGCAAAAAACATTTCATACAGTTTACACTAACCTGTTAGCTAGGTTTTTGTAAAGTATGTGCGGAAACCTAAAAATATGGGTGACTCATATCACTTACTGTGTTCCTGACATAAAATTTGTTGAAATAAGATGACTATTCTATTTGTCCTAGTTACTCCCATATTTTACTTCCAAGATATGATTACTAATTTCCTGTTCATTGTTTTCAGAGCTTTTTTATAACACAGTGTTATAAGTATGAAGTGTTGCTTCCATCTCGTCCTGTGATTACACGTTTATGTATCATGAATGTATTTGTTAGAACATATAACTTCCTTTTTCGTCCTCCGATTTCAGTAATGTTCATTTCATGATAGCTTATGTATGTTGTAAACATTCCCAGTTTTTATCGTCCTGTGTGTTCCAATATTAGAAATTTATCACAATAGGGAGTTAATTGTACAGGTAAATGATTTCACAGTGCTTATGGGACTCTATACACACTAACCTACATCAAGCTTTAGATATATTATGGTATTCGCCGATGGTTTATATTACTTGTTTTTGTTTCTTCACCAATATATTATTCTTCAGCTTGTAAAATGTAAATATCTTGGTCTGTTTATTTCTGATATGTGGCTAATAAAATTAAAATGCGATTGGTTAGTGAGCATGGACAGATAGACACTCAACTTGCCATTCAATATATGATTCCCTTCCTACTATTAATTCCGACTTCGGACTTAGTGAGTATGGTCTGTTTTTGATTGTGTTAAGCAGGGCATTATCGAGTTTTTCCTCTAGTTCTTAGTATTTAGTCATGAATCGTGTATCTGGTATAACATAACAGTCTGTGTTTAACATATTAATTTAGGATCTAGTCTAGTGGTAGTGTAATGTTGGTCACCGGTCGTTATAATAGTGGTATGTCTGAGCAAAAAGTAATGTTCTGCTGTTAAATTGATTTCGTTTGGAGTTGTTGGTTAGTTTTTTCCTCACAGATGCTCTTCGAGTCAGCTGCTTTCAATCTAGCACATCTCTTAGTCTCCATGTGTCGATAAAGACTTTATTTGATTAAGATATTGTGTTTATAAACCTGTAACGATATTCTCAGTTGATGCCTACCTACACAACTTTCACTTTTCTTAATTGTTTTATAAATATACTTGCTGTATGTTTTCCTGATTTAATAGCCTGTGACAAAAAGAAAACAGTTGATACTGTTATAACACTTTCCGATTCGGAGTCTGGTGAAACTAACTCAAATAGCTCACAAACAGAAGAGACTCCAGATGAAGTTGAAGAACTTCATTCAAATCCAGATGTTTTGATCGTTCATGAGCCTGAACAAGGAACACCCACACCGCTCTGTCCCCTCACTACTAGAAATGATTCTGCTAATGAAATTACTGACCAGTCTTCATTTTTATCACCACAACCACCTAAACGTCCTTCTTTGGAAGCTTTCAGTATGGGTATACAACCTTATAGACCATTTGAAAATCTTCCTGGTGTACATGGTGGTTATCAACGTGTACTCAACTCACTCAAGAATTCACGTGAGTCTTTAGCATCTCATAATAATGTATCAGATTCAAAAATTATACAAGATAATGATTATCAGTCGTCATCAACTCGACTGAGTCGTCACAATGGCAATCACTCCTCTTTTAAAAGTAATCGATATTAAAAAGAATATATACCGTTCACTTTTGAGTTGCATTTTATATTCTTCAGTGCTTAAAAATTGAAAGATGTATATATGTGTAAATTATTCAACTCACATCACTCACTCTATATATACATGTCCATTGATATCTCTGACTTTGATTTTATTCATTTTTCTGTAAATTAATAAATTCACCTAATTGTTAATATCCATTTGAAAGTGTCATGCATGTCAATTGTTATTAAACATTTGAATATCATCTTCCAGTCTTCTATCTTATATATTTGTCATTAAAATTTGAATACGACTGGTATGTTATTATTGATGCATATACTTTTTACAGAGAAAAAAAATCGAAAACTCATTCATAAAAGATTTGACTGGTAGATACATTTACACATCTGTTTAAAGAAAATGAAAAACTTTTATTCTCAACTACGTTGTATTTTTTCACCAGAGATCTCAATAATTGTACTTTTGCCACAGGATTTCAATTTGTTGTTCAGGTTGTGAAGAAGCCGATATATTGATAGACTACCCTCTCAAATGGTATATATGATTGTGTTAAGTAATGGATTGTTACTCAACGTACTTTTCAAACATTGAGTGCAAACTTTTCTCCATATGTTTAGGTTTGGCTAGTTTCATCAGATGCCGCACAAATTTGTAGCTTCAAGCCGACTACACTAACCTGTTACTGGCTAAAATGATTTTAAAATGTGAACAAGCCCTTGAGATTTCAGTTTTTCTGCAAGTTCGGTGGTTATTTGTCATGAGACAAATCTTAGCGTGCTTCCTATTTAGATTCGAGAAATTTATTTTGTAGAGTATCTTGACATGAGTAAGTTCAGCATTACCTTATAAAGTCGTCTTAAATTCTCAAATCTCACGTAATTCAACAAAGATGAGTAAACTATCAAAATTTGAGAAAGTATTTAGTTAGCTTATGGATTGAGTGTGCTCTGATGACTTACTCAATGCATCCTTGTTTCCAATTGATCTAGCGTATATCAGTCCATAATAAAAACTGCTTTTAAAAGTATATAACTAAGAAATAATATGATTTTGGACATTTAAAACAACATGAGTTAATGAATTGCTGTCATATGTGTCTGTTTTTCATTTCTTTTAGATTTTTCAAACCTTTTATTACTTTTAACTAAATCTTGCCAAATACATTCTGTAGATATTACGATATTATTCAAATTATATGGTTTAAGGACACTCGGATCTGATAAAATCTATGTACACTGCACCCCCTGAACAGAAAATTAATTAAATGCTTTTGAGCAGCTTATTTATTCGTGTGGTTGATAGTAAACTATATTTTACTGAGTTTATTCGTTTTTATTAACCTCATCATTGTGGAGATATCTCTCATGATGTTGTTGTGGCGCATATATATTTGGCGCACTCTTGTACCAATATATGTGTTCAAATAAATAAATAAATAAACTGAGTTTATTCGTTTTTATTAACCTCATCATTGTGGAGATATCTCTTATGATGTTGGTAATATACTTGGGGTTGTAGTCGTCTTTTCTTCAGTCCATGATTCAAGCAGTTGGATTGTAACCAACATGTCGTTAGTTCGCTCTGTGCTTTAATTACTTATGTTCAAGACAATACATGTGATTTGTCTCATACTGACGAAAGCCTACACACGGTTGATGGACTGTGCTATATACGTTTCAACATACTTTAACTCATAGACAACTAGGTGTGTAACCGCTCACGATTATTTAAATATTCGTGTATTATTTGATTTCATATTTCATCGCAATGTCTGCATAGTAGCGCAGTAACCCACTAACGTATCACATTCTACGTAGAAAGCTTTAGAGTACTTCTGTAGTATAGGGTGAATTCTGAGTAACTTGTCAATATATCTTTTAGTTTGCTCAAATATTTCAACGAAACATATTTTAATGCCACAACTTCTGTGAAGGTAAAAAGTTGCTTTTTAAAAGTAGTGAAAGTCGATTTTGAGATAAACATCATACACTAAAATGTTTTGTGCGTAAGTACTTATGTTATTTGAACGCTCTTTAGGAAACCATTAGGAAATATTTTATCTTTTTTTGCTGTGTAACCTTATTAAGTTAATATACACTTAGTAATACCGTACTTCTGCTGTTTTTCAAAAACTTTAATTATTGTTTGCATTTTATGTTACCGAGATTGCTTATATGACAGTATATGGTTATTACAGGAATTCATACTGGCTAAAATACTGTATATAACGTCAACACAATTTTAAATTATTGTTCATATACTCCGACTTTTGTTTTTCTGCAGTATATGTGGCATTAGTCTGTAAAGTTATAAGCTATTGATATGAACCGTCTTGGTAAATTGAGATTTGTTGGTTGAGGTGTATGCGATAAACAGTTGAAGACCTTACATGGTATGGTTCATATTCGGTCTCTGGTATGGGCGGATTTATGCCTTATCTCCCTCCAAGGCTTACGCTTTATTGTTATCTCATCCTCTTTGACTTAGAAAATAATTGAGCTGTAACTGGGTTTTAATAATCAGTTAACTTTGTTTCAACCTGTAACCTCAACAAAATATTTTCATTCTTTTTCAATAGTCTCTTGGTTTAGCTGTTTTTATTCATTTATAGGACTTTGTTAATTCGAATAAATCAACTTAAGTTTGTTTGTTCATGCATATTTGCTGAGCTCATGTTACTGCCCTCAGCATTGTTTCTAATCATTCTTCAAGATAATCCACATAAGTTCTGACATTCAGATTGTATAACCATTAACTTTGCAGATCATTTTCTAAATATGCAGAGCAACTTATGCTGAGTTTTTCCACAAAAGGGATATTCATTGAGTGACTTTTTCCCATACATTGCAGTATTGAAGAAAATTTGTGTTTATCCTTTAATAATAGGCTCTTAAAACAATAAGGAGCTTAAAAACTTCGATTATAGAAATATGGTACGAGATTGTAGTGGTAATATAAAGGCAGTTCATGTGACTATCTTGAGTTTTACTATTCGCATTAGTAGATGCTTTTCGGCGGATGTATGGAGGATTAGGCTTTTCAAAACTTCATAATTAATGATCAGGGGTTTAGGAATATGCAAATTTATTTATGTAATATAGGGTCTCTGTAACACTTCCATGCCATTTTAGCGTTTACGATTAAAATAAAATAGAATTAGTTTCAAGATGGAGAAATCAGTAAATGATCCCGGGTTATAGAGTCATTATTCGTCTGGGTAATTTGTATTGTCGTTGGCTTTACGAGTTGAGTCAGTGGACTATTAAAAATCTGTAAATGAAGATTTCGGTAATACAACTGTAAAGAGAAAGAAGTTAGGATATGTGTATTTACTTTTCTTTGGTTTTCCCATCTTTTACCAATAAATAATCACATATGGAATCATAGAGACAAGTTAAATTTATTGAACTCATGATTCATAGTTGATACCTTACGCGTACTTTCTATGCTACACGTTAGAAATCGGACAAAAAATTACTAAAATATCAGTTTCCCCGATTTTTCGGTTTGATTGTTGTCTGTTTCTTAAATGAACTCAGGATTTTAATGGTTTTACAACGTGTAGTCTCTATGTCTGGAAAATAGTTGGAGCAGTCTGTTTATTCGGCTGGTTGAGTTTTAGCTGTGTAATCAGTTTAGTCGGACTATTTCTCATATATCGTATCATGGAACTCGAATACTAAATCAGACGTAAATCTCTGTTATCTGTAAGCTAAATATTTTGACCGCTGACAAATGTCCTTGATAGTAATATAAAAGTTAGTAATGATGATCCGCCTAATAAACAATTTATGAGGGTTTATAGGGTTTGAAGATAGTTTGCATCTCAGACTAATATTATTTGGGAAACCAATTGAACAATGAAGGTAATGTAGATGCGTATCGATGATGGATAACGGTCACACTTTACCATGAACTTTATGAAGTTAGGAAGTGTGAACTATATAATTCCTAACAGTATCAGGCTAACTGCATAGCCTGAAAGTTTTTATGCTCTTCTTTTGCTGAGTCGCGTGTGTGCACTGATATAGTGTCCTATGGACTAAGCTGAAAAAAGTCTTCATTGTTCCCTAATTTTAAATGTTTATAAGTAGTCTTCATTTACACTTACCAATTTAATTGTGAATAGTGTGTAGAGGGATTTCTATCGAAGCTATCCACTCCGTGTAATATATTTCAATTATCTCTATGTTTCGATATAGTCAACATAAAAATAGGTAAATTAAAATGAGATATACACAGTTTTTCCCGTATATATCGAGCATCGTAAACGAAGACTAGTATTCACTAAATAAAGGTTGATTCCCTAATGTAGTTCCTGTATATTTTTTTTTCTATTCTAAGAAGTAACTGCATCATGATTTCTTCAAAAAGCAAGCATTCCAAACGAAGATCAAATTGCATCCAATTAACTGAAAAAGAAATTAACGATTTCATCGCACACAGTGATGATGAAGAGACTGATGGTAGTGAAAGTGATTGGGATGATATGGGTGAAACTGATTTGTCGACTGTACTTTCAAGTTCAACAACTATTACGAAGGGTAATACTGTTAGCCAGTTATCCAATGAGATAGCTTCATCATCTAGTCACAAAATAACTTGTAGTGCTATCAAAGGTAAGTTTATTTTATTTGTTTAAACTAATATTTGAATAATACATGCATACGGAGAGTGCTACCTGGTTAGATAATATATATTATTGAAATAAAGCTATTTTATTATATTAAATTAATTGTATTGGTCTGCCGAATTTTCATGCTCCAGTCGTATACAGTAAAGACTAATATTGGATGGTGATGGAACTACTTATCTGTTGGTTAAACGTTACACTTTCAAGCATTATATTATGCGTCCAAATCTTGCTTTACTAAAATTCAATTAATAGATTTATTTTACAGCATAATGTATTCGATGAGTTGGATTATCATGATTACTATTATTATTACTACCTTAAATCCATGGTTTGTTGTAAACTGTCGTATATTGTACTGATTAACTTGTTGTCAAAACATCCTTTCACTTGATTCAAGTTACATTTTGTCCTTTAAGAAAAAACGCCTATAAAGGTAAAGTAGATCCATTTTCAAATTATCAGTCATCCACTAAAGAATTGTGTCATTCTATAATTTATCAAGTGAAGGTGCTATAGAGTTAGTTTCGTTATCACGGTTTACTTAGCTTAACATTGAATCATAAGTCAGTGCATGTATACTTCAGTACAATTAAGGGCATATCATCAATGCAGCAGAGAGATAGAACTGTTATCTGATTTTATGGTAGTATATGTTTTTTATGTTTATCAGTTTCTTGTATTTGACGTGGTTATTTGAAAAAAAAACAGTTTAGTGAAGTAGATTTTTCCTAATTGTTACTTGACTCTAATTAGATACCATTTATAACCCTTATGTATTTGGATTTGTTGATTCAGGCTGTTATGTGGTACTTTCGCATTGTTCTCTGGAAAAGCACTTAACAAATTTAGATTTTCAAATATCGATTTCAGTATTAGTCTCTTACTGATGTCGTTTGCTTTATATGCTTTTACAAATTTCTTCACTTAAATTAGATATTGGTGTCAACGAGTTGTTTGGCTCGGTACGTTCCAATGTGTTATTGAATGAAAAAGAAATCAATACAAATATGCATGAACTGTTCGGTGAGGCTAATATAAGTGACGATAGTAATAGTGGTGATTTTGATATCAATCAATTGCAGGGGATCGAAGACGGTTAGTCGTTTTGCAAATGTTAATGCATAGCACTATTATTTTCTGTAAAATATTTTAATTTAAAATGATATCCATTAGAAAACCACTATTTGTTTAACTTTGGTTCGTTTCAGGAAGAAAACCAATTCCAGTTGAAGTATGTTAACGACACTTTCACCTCGTCCATCAGCTTAAAATTTTGATGCCCGTGCATTTTGAAAGCAGTTCGTTGTTTACTAGCTGTCGGATCGACTAACAATTAGTGAAGTGGTGGCCTAGTGGTTATGACGTTCGACTTCTGGCCGCTACTTTCCAGGACCGGACTCCGTTCCAACCACTTCAGTTTAGGCAACCGCGTAGTATCGTTAGCCGTTATACTTACTGTGTCTCACACTCAGTTAACCTGATAAATAAATCCATCGATCTTTAAAAAAGTTGCTGGGAGTGGCTTAAATGTATCAAGAAGCGAATTCGTGAAGGGTGTTCAACTGAGATATGACTTATATAGTTATGGTACTGTTTAAATATGTTTCACTCC